ATTGCCGTGAGGGGACTAGATCGAGATTAGCGTTCTTGGCGCGAATTTTTTACTTTAAGCACACCCCTTTTTTTTTCACGACGGACACGAGCGTAGAAAGCGGGCAAAAATAAAAATTGCAAACCCGTGATGTAAACAAATAAACAAAAATTGCTTTTTGTGTACGTTCGCACTTGAAATAACGAAAATGTGTTCATTTAAAGAAGCTAGAGAAATCCTTTTATTAATAAGCCATGACATGAACGTCATCAGTGAGGAAGATCTATTTCTATTGCTCGAAGAAAACACGTCAAGAAACCTCGAATTCAGCTATGGCTTGTACTAGCGATTTGACTCAGATGAAATCACCGAGCCCCAATGTACCTATACTTGGGTTTCTAAATTGTTAATATAGTAAAGTTACGTATGATGCATGACCCTCGCAGTAGATAGCGCTACTTATGCAATAGCGAAAATCAGACCTGAGAAAAATCAGACTTGTACGGGATTCGAACCACTGACCTCTGCGATACTAGTGCAACGCTCTAGGAATTGAGCTAACAAGCCAACTGGGAGCAGGCCGTTAAGTTGATTCGTAATAAACCCGTGAAAGTGATAAATCAGATACAATGAATATATGAAGTTCATATATTTTGAACTGCGGTATTAGATACGTATGATGCATCATACGTATCTAATACCGCAGTTCAAAATATATGAACTTCATATATTCATTGTATCTGATTTATCACTTTCACGGGTTTATTACGAATCAACTTAACGGCCTGCTCCCAGTTGGCTTGTTAGCTCAATTGGTAGAGCGCTGCACTAGTATCGCAGAGGTCAGTGGTTCGAATCCCGTACAGGCCTGATTTTTTTCAGGTCTGATTTTCGCTATTGCATAAATAGCGCTATCTACTGCGAGGATCGTGCATCATACGTATCTAATACCGCAGTTCAAAATATATGAACTTCATATATTCATTGTATCTGATTTATCACTTTCACGGGTTTATTACGAATCAACTTAACGGCCTGCTCCCAGTTGGCTTGTTAGCTCAATTGGTAGAGCGCTGCACTAGTATCGCAGAGGTCAGTGGTTCGAATCCCGTACAGGCCTGATTTTTTTCAGGTCTGATTTTCGCTATTGCATAAATAGCGCTATCTACTGCGAGGATCGTGCATCATACGTATCTAATACCGCAGTTCAAAATATATGAACTTCATATATTCATTGTATCTGATTTATCACTTTCACGGGTTTATTACGAATCAACTTAACGGCCTGCTCCCAGTTGGCTTGTTAGCTCAATTGGTAGAGCGCTGCACTAGTATCGCAGAGGTCAGTGGTTCGAATCCCGTACAGGCCTGATTTTTTTCAGGTCTGATTTTCGCTATTGCATAAATAGCGCTATCTACTGCGAGGATCGTGCATCATACGTATCTAATACCGCAGTTCAAAATATATGAACTTCATATATTCATTGTATCTGATTTATCACTTTCACGGGTTTATTACGAATCAACTTAACGGCCTGCTCCCAGTTGGCTTGTTAGCTCAATTGGTAGAGCGCTGCACTAGTATCGCAGAGGTCAGTGGTTCGAATCCCGTACAGGCCTGATTTTTTTCAGGTCTGATTTTCGCTATTGCATAAATAGCGCTATCTACTGCGAGGATCGTGCATCATACGTATCTAATACCGCAGTTCAAAATATATGAACTTCATATATTCATTGTATCTGATTTATCACTTTCACGGGTTTATTACGAATCAACTTAACGGCCTGCTCCCAGTTGGCTTGTTAGCTCAATTGGTAGAGCGCTGCACTAGTATCGCAGAGGTCAGTGGTTCGAATCCCGTACAGGCCTGATTTTTTTCAGGTCTGATTTTCGCTATTGCTTAACTCATCTTCTTATTATATAGCAAGGAATTCCTGAGGTGAATCTGAGCATTGTGATTAGCTCGGGATTTTTCCACGGAAACGTTCATACACCGTATTTTTGTTCTAGAACAACGGCCGAAATAAGCAAGTCTATCCGAGTACATCAAAATCAGTTACTTTCTAACCTCGCTTGTTTGAGCCGTACTGAGTAACATTGGCCCTCGTTCTTGTGCAGATGCTCAGTCGGCACTGCCACGACCTTAGGCCAACACACCCTGCCGGTGCGGCTCTTGCACTCGTTTAGTAAGAGGTTGTTATTCGGTGTTGCATAAACCTTTTCTAACCGAGGTCATTCGAAACACCAACCACCACTCAGGTCTCCTAGTTTATTTTTAGTTTCCGGATGTTAATGGTGGATTTAGAGGCAACTAAATCTGTATATCGAGCTTTGATCACATGGAGATGTTATCTGAAGTAAATTCTTCCTCATCTGAAGCATTCAAGCCAAGATCAAAATATATGAATAGTCCCTGATTATTTTTATCTTAAAGCCAGAGGAATAGAGTCAAATAACTTAATTGATAAATGCAAATATCAAAGAAATAAATACAATGATTAAAAGATATACGAGAGGTAATAGGTTATTCATTCTCATCATTTAATCCTCATTTAACCGTCCCTTGACCCAATGAATCAAAGAAACGAATGAATATTATTTTGCCAGGGTCTGTTTTGGGTTGTGCTGTTTGCATAATCAGTCCTTTTTGAATGAGAATGCAATGCCTGCATCTTGTAAAGTCTGTGTGCAAAGTTTACTATCATAGACTTTGAAACAAGTCCAAACTCAAAAGTTTCCACTGACTATTCACTGATCACTTTACATAAAGCATTCCATCTTGGTCATGGAATATCCCGAAGCTGTGCAGTGGGTGTTCGGGACAACGATAACCGTACAAAGCTCGTCCGTCGTAACCTGGTAGTTATGAACAAATCAGACAAGTGTTGATGCTCAGTATAGCCTATCAGTATATACTTTTTTCACTCTTGTGCATTACAGAATTATAATAGAAGAATACTTAGAACACGCTGAAAATGAATTTTATGTAGGACATATCGATTTAAAATAATATGATAATATATGGAACTTTACTTGTCGACTACCTTCAAGTTGATTTACATTCATTTACTCGTCAATAGTAAAGCCGGGCAATCATATTGATTAACTTTTCATTGCGATATGGAACCTCCAGTGCTTACCGATAATTCAAATAAGAGAGTGAAGCGGAAACGCATGCCCTGTTTGATTACATTAAACACCGTGTCCTGCTCACCACAGCTACATTGTACCAGTGCATACATCTCGTGCCACTCCGAAAATAACTGATGTTTTTCTCCCGTCAGTCAAACACTTTGCCGTCATGCTGTTTATAGTTTACTTACTAACCGTTTTCCTGGTATCTAGACGACAACCACGTATGGCCACACTCCTGATCGTCGTGTCCATCGAACACTACATTAAGGGGAAAAATTAAAACTTAAAATAGACAGAAAACTAGTTTTTAAGACTTATTGCAAGCCAGGCATTTTTCGCCAGGGAAGCGATTGAATCACATATCATTATCGCAAGGGGGAGGGGGGAGGACAGTTGTCGGATCATGCCTTGAAGAGAAATGAACTCGGCGTTTTAAGACTCGAACTCTCTTCTAATTATTCCTAGTTAAATTTGATCTCACTTTCGGACTTTATATAAGGAGCAGTTAAGAGCACTAGAAGACGAAAACACTTAATAGATGGGAGCAAATTTAAACAACCTTAACGGAAGACGCCCCACCCAGATCATCACATGTTTATATATCTTCGTTTTAAATTAAAAGAGTGGTGCGCTTGTTAAAGGGACTAAAAAAAGAAACAAACTGATGGGAAAGTAAAGAGCATAGTTTTTTTTCCTTTTTAATGTACATTTATTTTTGTATTTTTGTTTTGTTGTATTTTTTTTTTTCGATAAGGAATGCTTATCACCATAGCCATTATTATCATTATTATCATAATTAGAAGTAGTGCCTCCCGGTTAGCTCAATGGATAGAGCGCTGGACTGTTGTGCGGGATGTCGAGGGTTCGAACCCCGGTCGGACCAACACTCAGGTCTTAAGATAATTGAGAAGAATTTGCTACATTTTTATAACATGAAGAAATGGAA